AAAGACTTTTAACATGAAATATATATTTTAGGTTCATATGGAATTTATATATTTTTTACTTTGAACATTATTTTTAGTGTATACTTGTATTTGAGTAGACATTATTTATATAAACTGTGTTTATTTTGTCTACCAGTCTGCGCACTTGAGAAAAGTTAATAAGGAAAATGTGCTCTCCAGTAGGATTCAAACCTGCACACTAAGTTTTCTTAAGTTTTTGCAGACCAGTAGAGAAAAATAAACACCATTTAAATAAATGGAGCATCTATTCAAATGTGGGTATCCACTAAAAATAACATTTGAAGTAATAAAAACATGTTGGATTAAAAAATAAAATTCATTAATTCTTTAGAAACATATATATATATATATAATTTACTTATTTAAAAACATGGTTCCATTGCTACACAGGAATTTCCATGTTTCAAAAACAGAAGCTAAAAACTTCAAATTCAATTATAGAATTAAATTAAAGTCCCTAGTTCTGTTTCATTTTCAAGCAAATTTTGGAATAACTTATTTTGAAATTTACTGAATTTTATAAGCACATACATTCATAATATTAGTTTCTATGGATATGGGGAAATCCATTAATTTTAACAATCATATTTATGCTCTGTAGATTTGCATTGAGCACTGTTTTGTAAAAATAAAAATATTAATAAGAACAATGGATTATATATCTTACTGTTCTTTCTCTTTATTATAATATATATATATATATATATATATATATATATATATATAGTGGACACTGAGGTCAACACCAAGTGGTGACAGTCTATTTTCAAGCCATGTGTGATGTGAGGTGATTTGACTATTTATATATGCTGGCCAATAGTGCATTATAGGTAGCAAGGTCAAGTATTTCTAGATTATTGTATTATCCTAATAGTAGGCAGCAATAGTTATATTTCAAGTTATTCTAAAGGCTAATGAGTAGAAATAACTGTGAGTCAGAATGCAGTTATTTGTAGCTACTGTATAGTATTGTTTGTTAATTATTAACTCATTGCTTATTGATTGCTTGACTTAATTGAATAAAATTTGGAAAGATAAGAATCAAATATTTCATGGGGTATACTAAGATATATAAATTTACATATAAGCAAAATTATTCTCATTTATATTTGCTCGATGATTACTTTCAGGGAATTAACTGATGCAAATGTGAATTATATCTTTAAGTATACTTTTCTAGATATAATAATTTATGCTTCTTTTTTTTATTTTAATTGGAATCACTCCAAGCAAGGCATTAATGTCACTAAAACAGGTTGTGGAAGAATTCGGAACAGAAGCAAGGATTAGCAGAAAGAAGAAAAAGTAATCAAGAGGAGAGTAGATAGCAACTGACATTGCATTGAAATTTGTTTAAATAAAGGTTATTTGTTTTAGTTTAAAATAGAATGTATGTGTCCATTTTTTTCCTTTTTATTTAAAATTCATGCATATGTTGAATATGGCTGCCACATCTGGTCTGGTACTTCTGCTCTTTATTCAGAGATTCTTGATAAAGTAAAAAGAAGAATCTGCAATGTTATTATTCCTGGTCTGGCATCTCACCTACAGTCACTTTCCCACTGACATAATATAGCTTCCGTGTGACTTTTCTATAAATATTTTCATGGTAATTGTTCTGATGCACTTTCATCTAGTTGTTATTTTTATTCCCTACTCCCTACAGACAAATTGTACATATGGTAACTAGTTAGGACTTCATAGAGACTCTGAGGTATTATGGTGGCTGTAGTGAGAATGGTAAGTAAGAATGTTTTGTTTTGGTGTAAGGAATACTGTGGTATGTTTGGGTCAGTAATTGTGGCTAGCTAATTTTAAGTTAAGATATATTGAAGACTAGCCTTCCCCTATTCTCCTTTGTGGCCTTGTGCCAAATTTTGTATTTTTCAAAATAAATATCACTTTCCTCTATGGTACCTAGACTTTATGAATTTAAGTACAGTACTAGATTGGCAGCTAGGTCTCATCATAAATTTTTGCTAAGTTTCTTCTTTCACACTTCTTGCTTATGAAATTCTCTTTCAGTTCTTGATTTTCAGTCAACTTTGGCCTTCAAAAATTTAAATGCAATGTCAATTGTTATCTTCTGTCTTCTTAATTCATCTTCTTTTATTGTCCTTTCCCCTCACTAAAGTCTTCCAATTCTCTTTCACTCTTCTTACTTTCCAGTCAACTTTGATCTTCAAAGATTTCAATGCAATGTCAATCGTTATCTTCTGTCTTCTTAATTTCTCTTTTTTTATTGTTGATGTAATGGAATAACCTGTCACCTCCATGAGTAACTACACTATAGGTAGTAACTACCTAAAAGTATTTAGCTGGGCTCTCTTGAGTATGACTCAGACTTACGTGAGAACTACCGACCTTCCAATACTAGCACTCACTACTGGATTGACTTGCTATGATTGTGTGCATAACTGTTACCTTATTTCTTATTCTACTGGTTTTTACAATAAACCGTTACTTATTGTATCCACCGGGTTGTTCAAGTATATATTCCTATTAGCATGAAATATAACAATTGTCCTTTCCCCTCACTAAAGTTTTCTAATTCTCTTTCACTCTTCTTACTTTCCAGTCAACTTTGATCTTCAAAAATTTCAATGCAATGTCAATTGGTATCTTCTGTCTTCTTAATTCCTCTTCTTTTATTGTTCTCACTCCTTAATAATTTTTTTCTTTCTCATGTTCTCAATAAACCCTTTGCATCTTAGTGGCTTTATTGTCTTGCTTAAAGTGAAATGATTTTAAAAAAAAATACATTATTTTGTTTTTCTGTCAAAATCTGACATTTCACATGTTGTAAATGAATGCATATATTTTAGCTGTTTACTTGGGTTGTGTAATTTTTGCTATTGTCAGTGTTTCAAATTATATACAGTTGGTTCTTCATATTTAAGGGGTTTAAATCCATGGATAGAAAACTTAAAGAAACAAAAATGCCAAAAAAGTTTCAAAAAGAAAAATTTGAATTTTCCATGTACTGAATACCATACTCAACAAAGACAAAGGGATATTCACAGATCCACACCTGTAGTGGCCATCATTTCATAGATCCACACCTGTAGTGGCCATCATTTCATAGATCCACACCTGTAGTGGCCATCATTTCACAGATCCACACCTGTAGTGGCCATCATTTCATAGATCCACACCTGTAGTGGCCATCATTTCATAGATCCAAACCTGTAGTGGCCATCATTTCATAGATCCACACCCGTAGTGGCAATCATTTCACAGATCCTTGAAGTGTTTGTATTTTTGTCACATAGTCCCATCCATCCACTACTTTGGTGTTTTTGTTTTTTACAAAATTTGAAATGAAAACTTCTTTTGAAAGAGTTATGTCTTTTATTAAGTACTGGAAATTTTACTGAAATCTGATAATTAATTTAGCTTTGGTAAATTTTATAATCAAAATGTTTTTAACTGAAAACTTTTCTGATGAAAATTATGATTTTTTATGTAAATAAAAAATTCATAATTTTCATTAGAAAAACATCACTTTACACTATCACATTTCATAAATATTTCAAGTTCTATAGACTGAACACAAATATTTTTTTTTATATTAAGATTTCTCCAATGTTTCTTTTTACCAACAGAACAAAAATTTTCACAATAAATGCAAGTTAGTTTTTCTTCTTTTTTCCTCCTTTTTGGTCAAAAAATTTTGCTCATGCCTAAATTATAAAAAACTATTTACTTTGTATTAGGTCATTGATTCTCAACCACCATGCTGAGACAATTCTTAAGTTTGCCACAAAATATTGTCATGGAATATGTGTGTATGGAAGTAGTAATGGTACAGTGTTAGTATTTGAATAAATGGATAGGTATAAAACTTTTTATCCCACATTAGCTAAAAAGGCTTTATTAGTTTTATTGCAATTTTCTACTTCTTATTTATGTGAATTAGGTTTCTCAACCCTAAATAACATCAAAAATTAAGAAGCAGGAAATACTATGCTCAAATGAAGAAGAAATGAGGGTCTGCTTATCGCACATTTGACAAAACATTGAAGAAATCACAAAAGAAAAATCAGGCACAGGTTTCACACTGAATAAGCTGCACAAATAGCTGAATAGAAACATTGAAATAAAGTAAGTTCATATTTCTCTGTGTATTTTTAAAAATTCTATGGTTTTATTTTGTAAAATTTAAATGTCTACCCTTTAAAAGTTTTTCTAAGTATGCCATGATATTTTATATGCTCCTAGGTGTGTTGTTGCTTAAAATGGTTGAGAAACACTGTATTAGGTATTATAAGTAAACTAGAGAATAATTAAAGTATATAAGACAATGCACACAGGTAATATACAAATACTATGCCATTTTATATATGGGAATTGAATATCTGTGAATTTTGGTATTCATGAGAGGTCCTGGAACCAATCCCCTGTATATATTGAAGAATGACTATATAACATCACAAGACTGACCATCACAGTGTAACACAAAGGATCAAGTTAAAAACAACTACAACAACAAAAAACAGTGCATTTTATATGAGATGGTGTTGAAAAGTTCTCAGTCTAACCCACTTCCAAAAATCTGACCAATCATCAAAATTTTTGTGGAGAAAGGTTTCTTGGTTAGGCTGAGGACTTTACATCACTCTTGTATATGCTACAAAATAGAATACAAAGTTTTTGGTGATAAGAAAGTATTCAATGATTAAATCACAAATGAAAATGTTTATTTTAAAGAGAATTGTAATTATGTTCAATCTTGTCTTTTACAGGTTATTTAAAGCCAGAAAATATGTTTTAGATTGTAATAATTTTTGGAGATAATAATGATTTATTGATACAAGTCCTACTAATTAACCCATAGTTGGGGGTAGAATAGGTGGACTTGTAAATTTCCCAAGGGTATTTGTGCATAAATGAATATAATGAACATAACTGGAATTGGAACTCAGCTCTCTGATTCCCAATTCTGAGCCGTTATCCATTATACTACCAGCATATCCAAGCTTACAGCATCAGGTATTCCCAAGTGGTTACCCATATAGGTAGTGACCAGGCTCGATGTTGCTTAACTTTGGTGATCTTGCGAGAAGCAGTGTTTCAATGTGATAAGGTCGTAAGTCTCAATCTTAAGAGATTCACTAATGAAATTAATACATGTTCAGTTCCTTCAAAGAAGCAAATGTTGTCAAGAAAAATACCTTTAGCTTTTCGAATTCTTTCCATTTCTTCCATAACTTCAGAAATTGACGAGGCAGGTCGTTTTTTCTTCCTATTATAAATAGGATAAATATTCTGGTCATCATCTATCCAGGGCTGAAAAGAGAAAAGAAAAAAAATGATTAGTTTTAACCATTTTCTTTGTTTAAATTTATGAGCACAAGAAATTACTTTCAAAAGGGAAGAGAAAGGAAATAGCAAAATTTTCAATGATTTTAATTTTTTTTTAAAAATAAATATTAATTAATGAGATAACGATATATATTTTTATATATCAAGAAAAATATGGGGAAATTGTGATGACAAAGTGGAAAAAAAAGTTTCTATTGGATGCATTTCATCCTTCAGATTTTCATCGGACTAATTTCTTATGTTAAACTATTTATTCCGATGAACTTCTGAAGGAAAAAAAAGAGGCACAATTAAACTTTATCCACTTTGTCATACGATATTAATTAATCTAAATATCAACATAAAATTAATTACAATTAAAAAATTACAATAATATTTAAAAACAAAATTTATGACTGCAAATTTTATGTTAAGAGGTAAAATAAAAGAGAAACTCAAAAATGTTGTAGTTGTTAATATCGAAATGTTTAGTCAAACTATTGGATTGCATTTTGTAAAGGGATATAAATCCAACATCATTCTCTATAAATTAACTTTAAATTATATACTTTTTGGATTGGTTACTGTTAGTATATTTCTAAAATACACAGGCAAATACATTGTAGATAAATGAGAAATTAAATAAAAGTCTAAAATTTTAATAAATAATGAACAAGAGCTTGTATAATTCAAGTGGATACATTTGCCATCGTTACCAATATTAGTATCAAATAAATCAGTGATTTTTGTTTTAAATTAATTTATGTTGTTTATAAATTGCCAGGGGAATATTTTGAAAGAAAAATTGATTGAAAGAATTTATAAAAAAAATGAAAGCAAAAAAAAAAAAAAAAAGTTATTATCCCAAAATCATGAAAATGTTTTTATAAGGCATGGAAAATGGCATCAGATTCTTGTGCATTAACAAATAATTAAGGTGCTGGCTTGACCCTCAGACAAGCAGTGAACAAGAATTTATTGTGAGGAACAAGCAGATATTAGATTTCTTTTAGCAGATGTTAGTAATCTCTTTTAACAAGGATTTTATGTTGATCAATTTTCAGATTGGTAGTCCTTATTTTCTGGAAGTGAAAAAACTGACTAGATGAAGAATTTAACATTGGTTGGTGAGAATGAACATTATTGCAACCATTTCAAAAGACTTCCAAAGACCATTAATTTTCTCAAATTGAGGAAATCCAAGTTAAATTTCAAAACAGCAGAATAAAAACTCAATCTGAGTGAATCTTCATAGACAACAAAAGTGGTTAACGAGAAATATTAATGCCAACGGAAGTACAGTATTAGAAGATACTCTTTTAATTGGTGTCTCAGCAATTCTTCAATAAAAAGAACCTGATTTTTTTCCATTCTAAACTCATCAAATGCATGAAATAAACCTAAACTTTTGGTAGTAATCAGTGTAATTCTAAGAGTTATTTAAACTAGTATCCTCATCTTTGTTGTTTTTATTCCAATATTCTGAATGTGTTCTTTGGTTTTCTTCATATATATATATATATATATATATATATATAAAAAGAAAGAACAGTAAGATATATAATCCGGTGTTCTTATAGATATTTTTATTTTTACAAAATAGTGCTCAATGTAAATTTACAGAGTATTAATATTATAAATTAATTGATTTAAAATATGGTTTTTCCACTACACAGTTCTAACCATGTTTCAAAAATGGAAGCTAAAAGCTTCGAATTTAATTTTGTAATTAAATTAAAGACATTAGTTCCATTTCATCCTCAAGCAAATTTTGGAGTAACTTATTACTGGGTTTTAAAAGCACTGCAAAAATCTATATATATATATATATATATGAAGAAATATAGTCTTAAGATGTGTTATATTTATGGGATAAAGTGCTCAATATCAGAGATAGAGCATGTGTAAATATAAAAGTGAACATAGAAGTCAACACTTAGAGGTGACAGTCTGTTTCATGCTAGATGCAATCGTCAGGCTGCCTTACGATTGCATCTAGCATGAAACAGACTGCCGCCTTTAAGTGTTGACTTCTATGTTCACTTTTATATATATATATATATATATATATATATATATATATATATATATAATTTACCAGGCTAGATTTTTTTCTTGTTTATATGTTGGTGGTTCAAGATGTTAATGTCAATGATTCTTGCAGATATTTGACTTTTATCCAGTTGTCAGTTTCAGATTGACAATCTAAGAGTTAAAAGGAATAGTGTCAGCATTTTACTGATGTATTTAAAGAATTATCAATTATCTTTTTCAATTCAGAACTTAGAACGTTATTTTAAAACTGACTACTAGATAGATCACTTCTGTTTAAAAGAATATTTGCTCTGATGTGGGTCCATATAGAAAAGAGAAAATTCTTTTGTTAATATAAGTAAGATTCTATACAGAATATTTTTTACATAGAACTACTTCTGTCTGCAAGAGGTTTTGTTATCTCACCTAAGTCAGTCTAAAAGAAAAAATCCAAACTATATAAAGTACACACTTGAGCAAGGGTGAAAATAAATCAAAACTTTGCAATAAAAACAAAAAAGAGAGTGATACTCGTCTAAGTAAATTATCAAATAAAAGATAAACTGTTCAAAATTCATGTTTGGTTCTGTTTTTGTTCAGTCATATTGACTGAGACTGGATGTTGTTAGCATGGTAGACAAGATTTTGTTGGCTACATCCTTGCACTTCAGATTAAATCCAGATATATGCATATTGTACAAGTCATGTGATGTGTAAAACAGTTTCACAGTGCTTCACATTTGATTCAGATTTAGAATATTAATCAAAAAATTATTTGTAAATTGAAAAAATACAACAAAAAATTAAATTTCCTTGACCATATTGGATGAATTTAACAATACTTGAATTTTTGCTGTCTAAATATAGTCATTTGATATATATATATATATATATAGATAGATAGATAGATAGATAGATAGATAGAGAGAAATATGCACAATGTTTCATGTTAAGCTATTGTTGAATCGTTTTAAATGTTCAGTGGCTGTTGGTAAAATAAATCTCTGAGATGGTAAATAAAATTATTATTCTGCAGTTCATATGTTTTCTCTGAGCTGAAAAGAAGGCATATTTTTTTTCAAATATCAAAATGCAAAGTATTGACAGTCTTGAAGAACAGTTATCATCATCATTGCAAATTAAGTTTCAACAGACCAGAAAGCAGTTACGTCTTTCAGAAAACAAAGATAGCAAATGTGAAGAAACGGGTTTAATTTTATAAAACTGTTTACTAAGTGTTTCTAAAAATGTATGGTAACAAAAAAAAAAAAAAAAGGAATAAAATAAATGCAGAAATTAAAAGAAAATTTATCAATAAATTTGAAAATTAGTTTTTCATTTCAAATATACACAATTATAAAATACCAAAAATAGAGTTATGTTTTCTGGGGTAACATGGATAAGAACAAAGAGTAAAAAAATAAACTTTAGTAATAACAGCAGTTAATCACTGCAAAATGTTAGCAATAAAATTTTCCAAACATGGATTTGTTCTATGTTAAATTTGATGAAAGTAAAATGAAAAGTTGCTTCAACAGAATAGCACTGTTACTATATATAATTCCTGCTCATTTTAAATTGGTACATTACTAGTACTCTTTCTAATGTCTACAAAATTGACTGACCAAATGTTTTAGCTCTATATGAAGTCAGTGAAATTGGAGTTAACCATTTTCTTGATGTGTTTCACACTGATGTTCATTTTTCTCTTTAACATCCAGCCACACTTTTTCATTGTGAATTGTGACTAATTGTATCTCTTTCAAAGTGGAATAGGATACTATTCTGCAAATGCAACATTAATATTTTTAAAATTTCACTGGTGAATACACAAAATAAATTCTTTGTTTTATAAAAGCTTCATTTTGAATTTTGGTTTTCTAACCACAAGCAGCATCAACTGATTTTAGGTTTAATTTAAATATTCATAGTTTTTTTTTTTAAATTATGAAGCGGAAAATATTATAAATTACAAATTGAGAAATAATTATAAGATCCTGTTCTAAAATCTGAATAAATAAAGTTAAAAAAATTAAAAATAAAATAATGAGAATTTTAAGTTTTTAAAATTAATTTTAAACATTACGAATATTTGTCTCTAATTTTTTTTTTATCTTATATCTACAGGAATGATATAGGTATCTATCTTCCAGAAAGTTAGTCACAAGTTTTTTTTTTAATAAATAGATGAGAAAACATGCTAAAATTGCTTTGTAGATCAAAAAACATAAAGGCTAAGAAATCTGCAATCAATCTTAGAAATATGAATGCATGAGCACATATATATATATATATGCGTAATCATCATTTAGCAAACAAACATTTTGAGTCTTTTCCATCATTGATATAGGTCCTCCTGTATCAGTTGCATGAAATGAGTGAATATCCCTCAGGCCTTTATTAGAAGCTATCAAGACGTAGAACGGCAAGTGAATTACCCAGGAATTTACATGCTGTATCATACACACATGCATGGTGGCATGGTATTATGATGGTAGTCAACTTGTGACCCACCTCAAGACTTAACTCCCAAATGAACATTTCAAGGATGATTTCCACATTGTCTTAAATGGTTCATAAAATCTGCATGCGACATGCAAGCCATTCCATGTTGAGTACAGGTGGGTCTTTTGGCAACAATTTGATTATCTGGTTGTTTACATTATGACTACAAATGAATCAACTGACTACACCCTTTGTCACAAATACAGCAAGGAAACTCTTGCTGGTTATCACAATAATATATATATATATATATATATATATATATATATATATATATATATATATATATATATTAGGAGGATTTGAGATAATCATAATTAAGTAATTCATCATTGAGTCTAGAAGAAACCTCAACAGAATGCAAAAAACACTGGATGGCCGTTTCGTCCTATATTTGGGACTCATCAGAAGTGCATATCCACCACCGAGAACTGAAACCCAGACCA